GAGACAAGATCTTGCTAGGTAGTTCAGGATGGCCTTGAACTCACTATGAAGCCCAGGCCGGCCTCAAACTTGTGGTGATCCTCCTGCCTCAGCCTCCCGAGTGCTGGGACTACGGGTTCAGAGTGTTGGGCTAGTGTTCAGGTCTCCTGTTTTCTCATTCTTTCAGGATGCCCACTTTGGTGGATGCTTTATGACGCGTGTGACACACAGGTGCAGTAGCCCAGCGTGTGACTTAGCAGTGAACCGTGTCCACGAGTGCACTCTGCTGGTGCGTGTGGCCCTGGAGAGAGTCGTGCAGGCCGGTCCTCCCAGGTCCCCATCCAGAACCAGGCTCAGCACGGAGCCACTTGGGTAAACGCAGGGACCGTGCAGGACGGGATGGGGCAGGTGGGCATGGGGTCCTCAGGGGCAGCAGCTGGAGATGTGGCCACAAGGACAGGGACAGAGGAGGTGGCTGGGGGGCGCGGCCCGGGCCCCCCCTCACTCCTGCGCCTTCACTGTGGCTCCTGGTCCTCCAGCCGCAGCCGGGGAGGGGTGTCCCCATGAGGGTCCCTTCTCATGGGGGGCTGAGCCTTCTGGTTAGATCTGGCTGTGTGAGGGTGGCCACTGAAGGCCTGGGCTGGGATGGGGTTCGCCGAACGCCCTTTCTACGCTGGTGCCCAACCCGGGCAGGAAGATCTGCCAAGGTCCGGGGCCGATTCTGGAACCCGGGACAGGTGCTGCTGGCATCCAGCGGCCACAGCTGCTGTGAAAGCCCCTCAGGGCACAGGCACCCCATCCTGCAGCAGAGGAGGGTCTGGCCCTGAACACAGAAGAGGAGCTGAGACCCCTCAGCCCCGGGGACCCGCACAGCTCTGCACACGTCCCACTGGACACTTCATGGAGGCTGTCCATCACAGTCGCAATCAATCAGAGGGCCACAGCCCAGCCCGAGCACCAGCCCTGCCCTCCCGGTGCCACTCGAGGGCCCCCGGAAGCCAATGCCAACCCGAGCAGCATCTCGAACCACGCACAGCACGCCTGCGCCTGTCGCTCTTGAGCCAACACCAAATCCCCGCCCTCCAGCCCTCCACGGGTCCCATTTCCCAGATGGAGACACGGGCCGCAGCGTCTGCCAGCCAAGAACACCTGTCCCGGACACAGGGCAGGCGGCGCCCAGGACAACTGAAGCTAGCTGAGGGGCATGGGCCCAGGCCGGCCGCCCCGTGTCCCCAGCGCCACCTCCCCGGCTCCTGGGCCTGCCCATGCCCACCGCGCCCCGCTCACCTGGATGCCGTTCTCCTGCAGGTTCAGGTACCGCGTGTTGACGGGGATGCTGGCAGGGACCTCGGCCAGCTCTCTCCGAGTGCAGATGACCCGGCTGGCCTGGTTGCTGCAGGAGCAGGCGGCTGGGCAGGAGGTGGCCGGTGGGGAGCCCCCTCCTGCGGCCGCTGCGACGGCCACGCTGCCCCCGCCGGCCCCCAGGGGTGGGGAGAAGAGCCACAGGAAGAGCAGCGCCCCGTGGGGCCAGGACATCCTACCGGGCGGCAGTGGGGGGCACGGGGAGTGGGCACGCGCCATCCTCAATGTTCATGCTCTGCGTGGATGCTGGGAGGCTGCGAGAGAGGACAGGGGACAGGCTCAGTCAGGGATGGGGACCCCACAGGCCCCAGTGCCCACCACCACCCTGCCCAGGGCCCGGGACCATGGGGCAGAGAGAAGGGCTGGCCGGGCCTCCCCTGCTCCCACCTCGTCCTGTCCAGGTGGTGAAGACCTTGTGCCCACTGTGCGGAAGGGACAACTGAGGCCAGGAGAGAGGACATTCCCCACCAAGGCTGCCCGGCCAGTTAGTGGGGGAACCAACCAGGCTGGCAACTTAGGTCTTTGTCTGAGTCCAGAAAGGCAGACAGAAGCAGGGAGCGAGGGACAGCCAGACCGAGGTGCAGAGAGGGGAGGGACAGTGTGGGTGACAGCCACGCAGCCTCCCGCCTTCTCCTCTCCCCAGCAACAGTGAGAAGAGACAGCTCCCCGAGTCCTCAGCCCTCCTTGGGCCCTGCATCCCACCCCTCTGTCACCGCCCACCCAGCCTGGCCCGGTCCCAGAATCGGCCCCACAAAGGGGCCTGAGGGACAGCGGGAGGTGCCAGGCGTGGAGCCGAGGGTGTGGGCAGGTGAGGGCTGAGGGCGGAGGCTGGGCAGGGCGGGATCCCGCAGGCTGCCGTCAGGTCTGGGATGGCAACAACGCCGGCAGGCCCCCAGCAGCCCCCCTGCTCCCCGAGACTGCAGGTGCCCCGGGCGAAGCCGGCCTGGCGGGCCCTGTGCCAGCTGCTGCCGCAGGACGGCGCTGGGGGCGATGATGGGGCGGGGGCGGGGCCGGGGGACCCCGTGCCTGAGCTTTGGGGAGGCCCCGGTCCCCTGAGGAGTCATGGATGCGCCTCCCCGATCTGCACCCCCACCCAGGACCAGAGAAGGGGAGAAGCGGCGGCCCATCAGGACCCAGACGAGGCCCTGGCGAAGGCCTCGCTGCCGAGCCCTTCCGAGCACCAAGCGCCCGCCTGTCTCCCTCAGGCCTTCCGGGGACGGTCGGGAAGCGGTCAGGCGCCCGGTTCACAGACGGGGACACAGAGGCCCGGCGCGCGGCGACAGGCGCTGAGGCACGGGAGGGAGGGAGGGCCCAGCCCCAGCCCCAGCCCCAGCCCCAGCCCCAGCCCCAGCCCCAGCCCCAGCCCCAGCCCCAGCCCCAGCCCCAGCCCCGGGAGTCCCCCTGCGGCCGCCAGGCGTCCCCTCGGCGCAGCGTCCCGGGAACGCGAGGCGCCCCCCAGCGCGCTCCCACGGCGGTGACGGCCGCGGCGCACGGACGGGACCCGCGCTCCTCCCCTGCGGGCCGGGGTCGTCTCGCCCAGATGGAAACGTGCGAGGCGCCGCGCCGAGGGCCGGGCCGGACGCACGGAGGGACGGCTCCGCCCGCCCGCCCAGCTCGGAGGCCGGGTCTTTGTTCCCACTGCGGCGGGTTCGCTCGGTCGCTCGGTGCCGGTGCCGGTGCCGGTGCCGTCCTGGGCCCGGCCCCTCCCGAGGCCCCCGCCCCGCGCCCCCGCCCCGTCCCGCCCGCCGCCCGCGCCCGCCTGCGGGACACTCACCCTGGAGGCGCCGCTCCCGCCGGGCCCCTCTGCGCCCCGGCCCCCCCTCCTCATGCCTCCGGCCCCGCTTTCCGGGCTTCGCGTCGAGGTCGCGCTGGGGGGGGGCGCAGGGGCTTCTGGGGTCTCCCCGCGCCCCCCCCGCCCCGGGCGACGTCCGGGCTCCGGCGCTGCCGCAGTCGCCTTCTCCCTCCCGCCGCCTCCGCCGCTCTCCGGCCCGGTCCGACCCCGCGCCGCCCGGCCCCGCGCCCGCCCTGCCGCGAGCCCGGACCTCGGCCCTCTCCGTCCCCGCGACCCCTCTGTCCTCCTTCCTGGCGTCACCCGCTCATTGGTCGGATCCCGCGTCCGTCTGTCCGTCCCTGTCTTGGTCTCCCCCTCTCCGCGATTACAGTTTCCAGTCACACGGCAGTGCGGAGCCGCGGCGCCCTCCCTCCTCCGATCTCTCCTCCGGCGGCGGGAGGGCGCTCGCCTCCCGCCCGCCCCTCCGCTCCCCTCCCCCGCTAATCAAAGGCTCCGTTATCTAATTAACCCATTGGTTCTGGGCGGCCGGGAAGGTCGGGGGAGCGGGGGAGGAGGCTGGCGGCCGAGCTGCCCGGGGAAGGGGGGTGCGGGCTGTGCCAAGCCCAGCCAGCCTGGTGGCACAGCCACAGCCACGGCCGCCGCCGCCTCCTCCTCCTCCCCCTCCCCTCCCCCTCCTGCTCCTCTCCCCCTCCCCCTCCTGCTCCTGCTCCTCCTCGGATGCAGAACCGGCCAGGCTGCGCTGACCCCCTGCCGCTGGCCAGAAGCAGCCCTGCTAGGCCACCGTCCCTGCACCTCTCCCCCCTCCGCTGCAGGTGCCTGGAGCCCCAGGTGCCCCCGGACCCCTACTGCAGCATCGGCTCCACCCCCACCCCGGGAAACCGGCAGACCCGGACCATGTCACCCTCACAGCTGGGCTCAGCCCTACTCAGGCCACGCAGAAGCGTGCTCCAGACGCGCCCTCCTGATACTCCTCTCTGCTGTAAGACGGGCAGGGCAGCCACCATCATTGACTTGACTTCTCTGTCATCCCTCCATCCACCCCTCCATCCATCCGTCCACACATCAACCCTTCCACCCATCCCTCCATTTATCTCTCCATCCCTCCACCCATCTCTCCCTCCATCCCTCCCTCCATCCAGGAAGTACTTACCAAGTCCCTATCACTGCTATGTGCCAGGTCCTGGTACAGATGCTCATGAATGCCACCTACAGGCTCCAAGGCTAGCACACCCTTGGGCCTTGAAAGGCAATGGGCACCTGCACAGCACCCCGTTAGATGGCCCCTGGGCCTGGGTTGAATCTTGAGTCTGTGGCCCCTGACCAAGGCTGGCTTCTTTCCAGTCTCCTCTTTCCAGGCTCCTCCACTGAGAGGTGGATGGTAAGAGTCTCACCTGTGAGGCCCCTGCAGGATTGGAACTCTGAATGCTCGACCGAGGGCTCTAGTTCCAGCCCAGCCCTGGCCCAGGCCTGCTCCCCAGCCTGGCCACCATCCCTGGCCTGGACAAATAAGTCACCAAGTCCCCTCCTCATGGTGTCCCTACTCCTACCTCTGCCCCTCCCTTTCTGTCCCCGGCAGGTAGCCAGACCAATCCTGTCCCTCTGCTCAGCAACCTCCTGAAAATCCTGGCTCAAGTGGAGTAAAGGCTCCCAGCACCCTGCTCCTCGGACCCCATCTCCTGCTTCCTGCCTTGCCCGTCCGGCCCTCCCTTCGTTCCTTCCAGGAAGGGCTGCACACATGGCCCCAGGGCCTTTGCACTTGCTCTTCACGTTGCCACCAGGTCCTCCCCAGCTGTCCCCAGGGCTCCTCCCTGCCTCTGTCAGGCCTTCACTGTGATGTCTCTCTCAGTGACACATGCTGAAGCCCCACATCAGAGGGCACCCTGCCCATTCCAGAACCCTCTCTGCTTTATTTTTCTCTTAACACTTCCTGCCCTCTGGCCCCTTTTGTGCCCATATCCTTGAATGGAAGCCCCCCGATTGGGGCTGTGCCCAGGACCAGAGCCATGCCTGGTGCACACTGGTGCTCAGCCTGCCCTGGGTAGCAGGATGGACCAATGTCCTGTGGCCTCCCATCTATGTGCCCTGAAGTTTCACCGCATGCCTTCCTGCATCCCAGCCCGGACACACGGGCAGCTGAACTTCAGAGCCACCAGTCCCAGAGCTCCCGTCCCAGCAGGCCTGCCCGGCGGAGGTGCCACCACCTCCCTGCCTCCAGCTGGCCACCTGTGTCCTGGTCTCCACCCACGCCACGGTGCCACTAGCTGGCTGAGTCCCTCGCAGCACTTGGGGACCCAGTCCCGACCCCAAAGCCAGGGACTCCTGGGGTGCCCATGCAGACCCCAGCCCAGGGGCGTGGGCATACAGCACCCCACAGCGGGGTGCCGCACATGGTCTGGAGCCTCCTACTGAGATGCCCGCTCCCCAGATGGGACCCTGAGGCGCAGTCAACAGAGCTGGGAGGGCCCAGAGGCCTCGCATGTCCGGACTGCGCTGCTCAGTCCTGCAGAGGGTCCAGGCAAGCCATGGGCAGGAGGAGCGGCAGCTGCCCTGGCCCCCATCATGCAGGGGCCTCTGCCCGGTCCCCTGCTCTGGCCACTGAGTCTCCCCGTGGCCCCTGGCAGCCTGGCTGCAGTCTTGGGGCTGAGGGTGTGGCGGAGGCCGGGCAGCCCGAGGGACAGTGCTCAGCTGGCCTGGGGACCCAGGGCAGGCAGTTGTCCAGCCACCGTGCAGCCCTTGGTGCCTGGCCCAGGGAGTGGGCGGAGGCACCTGTGCCGAAAGCCCAGGAGACACCTAGAGGGTGGAGGACAGGCACGCACAAGGGCAGGTGGAGAGGCACAGAGCTCGGGAGAGAACGAGAGAGCCAGGGCAGCTGGGCCGGGGCTGCGGGGCGGAGGCCGGAGGTGGCCAGGTGCTTGGGGTGCAGCGCCAACCCCCAGCCCGGCTCTGAGAGATGTCGGGCATGGTGCCCACGAGGAAGCAGGCAGATGGCAGATCGGAAACTAAGGGGCCCCAGAGAGGTGGGGTGAGGAGGAAAGGGAGGCAAGAAGTGTTCCTGTCAGCCATACTCATTTTCACGGCTAAGTTCAGAAGCTGAGAGAAAAGAGAGGGGATTGACTGCCGTCACAGCAAGAGGGATGCAGGCTAGAGCTGAAGAAGAACTTCCAGAGTCCTGGAAGGATGAAACACCGTCCACGCACACCTCTTAACACTTCCAGATATCCTAAGTGCTTTTGGAATAAAGGGACCCATGCCGGGCATGGTGGCACATGCTTGTAAGCCCAGCACTTAGGAGGCTGAGGCAGGAGGATCACCCCTGAGTTCTAGGCCAGCCTGGGCTACATAGCAAGACCCTGTTTTGAAAAATAATTAAAATAAAGTGACCTATAGCCTCAAGAGGCCAGCCAGGACCCCGCCAGCTTCCCAGCAGAGTGGCAGGCAGGCGACCTTTCCACCTGGCCATGTCCCCATCTGGCCTTTGCCTGCGTCCCCTCTGCCCTCACCTTCCCTTGTCTCTGTGGCACTGTCTCTCTCGTCCCCGTCTCAGTTCTGGGTCCTGTGCCACCTCTGAGGTTTCTCTGGACCTGAAGCTCCGACCTTCACACTTCCTGTCCCCCCCATCACCTGTCCACTGAGACTGGGCTGGGCCTGATGGCACATGTCTGTAATCCCAGCACCCGGGAGGCTAAGGCAGGAGGATCACAAGTTCAAGGCCACCTGAGCTACACAGCGAGACCCTGTCTCAAAACACCCTAATAATAATACTAAAAATAACAGATGTCACAGGACAGAGGCTGGCAGGCAGAGAGGGCAGAAGCCGCAGTGACCAGCCGGCGAGGGGCTGCTCTGAGGGTCTAATGCACTGCTGCCCAACACAGCTCTGCCCAAGGGACAGAGTCTATAATGCATGGCAGCGGCCACAGCCCTGCGCAGTGTGGTTCCAATCTAACCGCAGCGCCGCCATCCCTGTCCTGCCCTGTGTGAAGCGGCCTCTGCCTGAGTCCCTGGAGCTCAGCTCCTTCTGCTCCGTGGCCTGGCTGCCTCGAGGGGCTACCGGGCACACAGGCCTGGAAACACACGGTCCCTTTAATTATTTACTTACTGAGACAGGATCTCACTATGTACTTCAGGCTGGCCTTGAACTCTCGGGTGATCCTCCTGCCTCAGCCTGCTGAGTGCTGGATCACAGGCCTCCCACTTTACAGAAGGGTCCCCTGAGGCCTGGTGAGGTCATCTCAGCACCCATGGGTGCCACACCCAGGCTGACTCTGTGAACCTCCAGGGCCCCAGACTCTCTGGGAGAAGGAGGGGGCAGCTTACACCCTGCAGTGAATCTCCCGGGACAGAATCAGCGCTGAGGGGGCTGGGGCACTGCCCGAGGCCCAGCCCTGGTCTTCCTCATAGGAGGGGCTGCCGCATTCTGCTGCCATCTCAGGGCTGCATGTAACTGT